TACACCATTACGACCTATTATTGCCTGTATACATGCACCAGCAACATTAATATCGAAATTTTTAAATGATCTATTAGCACCTATATATTTGAATGCTGCTCGTGAAATAACATTTATTAATGGCATTGATGTGATACGAAAACTGGAAAAATATATTTTGGATACTCATTTTCAGACAACAACAAAATTTATTATAATTGATATGACTGATCTTTATACAATGATATCTCGAGAAGGTGCATTACATACATTGATGCGATTTTTAGAAAAGAATTCACATCATGGAAAAATTGGTACATTATCCATTGATGCTACTATGAGAATGGCTCGTTTAATATTAGATACTAATTGTTTTGCTTATAACAACAAATATTATCAATAAACTCGTGGTGGTGCTATGGGCTCAGCATTTACACAAGTATTGGCTAATATCTATATGTTTGAATGGGAGCAATATTTAATCAAACATCAAATAGTACACAAAGGAATGTATGGAAGGTTTGTTAAACACTTACTAAATGAAAAAGGTTAACTAAGCTGACATATATCTTTCGTAGATACATCGATGATATATTCATGATAACTAACCAAACCATAGATGAAATTAAAACAGAACTCGAAAAAGCTGCCAATAAAGATATTAATATTAAAATTCACTATGAAATTGATACATCAGTTAATTTTTTGGATGTTACTATAACAAATGAAAATGGGCAATTAAAAACATCTCTTTATCATAAACCAACTACTGAACCTTATATATTGCCATACACATCCGATCATCCAAGACATATTCATCGTAATATACCATATGCTGCTCTACTACGTGCTGCTCGTATTTGTTCTGACGTACAGGACTTCAATACAGAATGTATTCGTATCGATATGTCCCTATTATTAAATAATTATCCACCGAATTTCATAAAAAAACAAATCTATCGATTCTTCCAACTGAACAATGCCATGCCTATTGTAAACGAATTGAATGATCAAGTTTATCATCGACTACGTCAACAATTGTTGTACCAACCAACACAACGCGAAAAACAGCTACATCTTATGATACAAGATCCGATTCGATCACCTACAGTATTGCAACGGAAGATATGGGATCCAAATGTCATGTACCCGAATCACCTCTTCAACGGTTCTACAGCTACCACTTTTCGAAAAAGACTTATACAATGGTGGCGAACTTACTATGCTCATAATGGATCAATTTTGGAAAAAATTAAAGTTCAACCAGTAACTACTACCAACGCGACACTTGAAAAATTCTTCATCCATAAAAAGCCACCAAAAACAATTTTGACCCACCGAGAAGACTCATAGGCACCAATGCCAGTAGACTAACAACAAAACTTTAAATCCCATAATCAAAACAATAAACATGTTTGTTTCGTAAAAACACATATTTTTCTAATATCTCTTTGTTATTTCCAAAAATAAATAAATCAAAACTAACCAAACTCAACTCTCTCAAAAAAGCTTCAAACATTAACCCACAAATTGGTACTAATAATCCATCTTCAAATTGCTCTATTCTAGACGACCCACATTCACTACGCAAAAAAACAACAAATAACAGAAACAAACCAAAGTCATCTACAGAGAAATACAATAAATACGCAAAAAAAATTCAGAAAAAACCATCATTCACTTGAAAAAACCATGAGCCATGCCAAAGATTATTCTCAACAGTGATCCCCACAAATTTCAACCAACACTCACCTACAGAAACCTCCACCAAACGAAATGAGAACAAAACAAATACGTTACGATGCAATCGCTTCGCAAAAAAAGGGTCAAACAGTAAGTAACCAAACTTCTACATATCAATCTTCACAAGCATATATAATTCTTCAACTCGTAGACAACCGACCTCACCTTCAAAAACAACAATCACCGATATCAACATTGCTTCCCAGATTCGAAACCCGTCGTATGATGCTTGAACTTTTATATTCTTATGTGAACACACCATTTACTAAAGAATAACTATGTCTTATATATGACTGAATGATTTTTATTTCGTATTCCTCTAAAACATTTACTTGCTGTTAACCTTTTTCTGACTTCCACCTAGTATTATTTCACTATATAGGTTTTGAAATTTATCTTCTAAATTATATATCCATGTAGTATTTGATTTAGAACATACCTGATGATGACTGGGATAAGCTCCAGTCGAAATACGTCGTATGATGCTTTGAATCACTCTACATTGTAACACGCCCTTTACGATTTACTACGATTTATATATATAACTTAGTTTGATATATCGGTCTAGAACCTTTGGAATAATTTCTGTTGTAGGTCTTTTTGACTATCA